CCCCAGCCTAATGCCATCTCTCACCATTTGGCCTTAATCCATCCCACCACAGACCCTGAACTCCACTTATGCCAAACTGCCCACTGGGTCCCAAACAGGCCACCTTTTTGAACAACCTCCTCGCACTCACCTTTCCCATGTGGGAAACCAACCTTCTACTCATCTTTGAAGGTTCATCTCCAATGTGACTTTCTTCCAGAAATCTTTCCAACCCCAAAGAGAATAAATGGCATCTTTTTCTGCTCTTCCAAAATAACTCAGTACCCTTTTCACTATGGACCTTAGTGCATTGGGATTATTAGTTTAAGGTGTCCCCTCCCCCTGGTAACCCTAGAGGGCAAGGACTTTATCTCAGATATTTGTACCTTTTAGCCCAGCATTTCTCAACAGCAGCAATATTGACATTCGGGGCCAGAAAATGCCTGGTTGTGGGACTCATCCCTGGCTCCCACTCACTGAATGCCAGGAGCACCCCATCCCCAGTGTGACATTTAAAACCACTTCCAGACATTGACTGTTGCCTCCTGGGGGAGAAAAGGGGCCCCTGGTTGAGAACCACTGCTCCAAGCCTCTAAGAGAGAACTGGATCTATAGTAGGTGCTTAATAAATATTTGTCGAATTGATAAATCAATGTCCAAGTTAATGAATAAAAAGCTGGGTGAATCAACAGATGAAAAAAAGACCTTACTACTGCTTTTACACATGTACCAAATCAAACTTAAAAACCTTTATTCCACCAAGTCAAGGCTCTTCATGAACTGGCTACACTTCTTCCTCTGTTCCTTGTACCCTTTCCTTCTCACCCGTGGGCTCTTCCCCATTCTCAAGCTTTATTTTCCTTCCCACCAACCTAAATTCTGTACTTTCTTCAACACAAAGAACAACTTACCTATTTCAAAAAGCCTTCCCCAATTCACCCAGCCTACAATGATCTAAATATTTAGAAACAGGATCGGTGAGGAAAAATGATAAGAATACATAAATATGGAACACGTAATAGATGTCTATACACACAAATACCTATGTATCTATTAATTTTGGTCTTAGACCTATTCATCTTTTTGTTTCATAAACATGTGTAGGAACTTTCTTCTCCACTAGAAGAATCGCTCCTTGATAGAGAGCTTACTCAGGCCTTTAAGGGTTTTCTTCTCCTTAGCGTTAGCACAAGCTTTATGAACAATGGATGTTTAGCGTTCACTTGGAATGAATTTTTTCTTGAAGAAATGAGCAGGTGTGTTAAACGTGTGTCATTTGTGTGCTCCTAATGCAGTTTTGTTTTTAAGAGGCATAGGAGTAACTCTTTAATATCATGCAGTTTTTAAAGAAACCCATTTCAAGGAGGTTGTCCAAACATGAAGAAAGGATGTTTTAGGAGTTCTGTGAGAAGAACACTCTTGTGTTAAGCAATGAGAAAGACAAAAATGGCTGCCTTTGGTCTTAGATTGTGATTGCGCTCAAACTCCATGTAAGCTTTTTTCCATTGCTTGGGGGGACTGTATTAAAAGCTTTGGCCTGAGGTGCCTGGGTGGCTCAGTGGAATAAGTGACGGACTCTTGGTTTCAGCTCAGGTCATGATCTCGTGATTTGTGCCTTGGGCTCCTCGCTGACAGCACAGAGTGGACTTGGGATTCCCTTCCTCTTCCTTTCTTTCACCATAAATAAACTTCGGGAAAAAAAAAAAAGCTTTGGCCTTCCTGGTTACTCTGAGCTCTCTCAACACCCAGGCATCCCTCATACTTTTCCTCCTTCAGACATACTTGCCGTGATTGGTCCATACACTTTTCCTCTGTGTTTGGAAATTTGCTCCAACTTTTGTCCCACAGGGCATTGCTTTCTCACGTTTTTCTTGGAAGAGGACATGCTTTACCCAAGTAGTTGCCCATGGGTCTTCTGAACCTGTGTTCGACAGCAGAGTTAAGGAGACAACCCCAGATGCTATCAGCACCGCGTGAGTCCCCATCTGTGATGGGGTCAATAGAGACAAACTGGAATGGGGTAGGGTTGGGGAAAATATTTCTAGCTTCACTAATCTTTGTAACCCTTATAACTTGTATTTTCTGACAGAACAGCCTTTTGAGGCTTCAGTCTCCATTTATTCTTCTCTGCTGTGCCATTTGAGAGAGAGGGAGAGAGAGAGAGAGAGAGAGGGAGAATAGGGGAGAGGGATGGGGGGAGTGAGAGAAAGAGAATCGTAAGCAGGCTCCACGTTTAGTGAAGAGCCCGACATAGGACTCGATCCCATGACCGTGAGATCATGACCTGAGCCAAACTCAAGAGTTAGGCGCTCAACCAACTGAGCCACAGAGGGACCCTTCGGCTGTGTCTTTTAATTCCCCCTCTCCTTGGCTGGCTCATCTCTGCCTGCCCAGGCCTTCCCACTGAAAATACAAAGCCACAATGCTTCTCCGACTCTGCCTCTTCCTACGGCAGCATCCTGTTATTTCACACACTACCCGATGTGCACTGGCCGCCATTTATCACATCCACAGCCTGGTCTCATATATATCCACAGCTCACTACAGTCTGGAAACTTATAGCAACCCCTCACTTCTCAAAATACGCCCCTCTTTCCCAGAGCCCTGGACTTCCTATTTACCGCCACATCTGACGCCCCCTTCTGGTTACTCCAACTCCTCGACCCTGCAGCAGCTCTTGCTCCTATTCTATGGTGTTGAGTATTATTTAACTGCTCTATGTGATGCAGAAACAGGTCATCCATGTCTTGCTCCTTGTGAAACTTCCAGCAGGCAGGAATAACTCAGGTGCTCAATGTATTGAGCAAACAAAGGATTGCTAGAAATGGAAGGAAGATTGAATTAGGTACAGGAATTGTAGGACACAAATGCCCATTTCTCCATTTTTAAAAGACTATCTTCCGGAAACAAGCGTGTACTTGTCTGGCGTACTTGTGCTGGACTGAATTTCTACAGCAGTTGAAATTGCATCCTTCAACTGCTACAGATAATTGTCAGTTACATATACAATGTGCAGTGTTCTAGACAACGCCCAGCAGCACAAATGAGCACAGACATGCTTATAGCAGATCCTAGGGCAGCTAGGTGGCCCACAAAGTGTATTCCTCAAGTCTGTCACATGAGACCATTACTGCTCAGACCGAGACAGGCACTCACCTCTCCTGGCTACTAACTAGCAGCAGCATCTGGATTTAAATTGTTACCTTCAAGGGGCACCAGCGTGGCTCAGTCGGTTAAGCATCCAACTTCGGCTCAGGTCATGATCTTGAAGTTTGTGGGTTTCAGCCCCACGTCGGGCTCTGTGCTGACAGCTCAGAGCCTGGAGCCTGCTTCGGATGCTGTGTCTCCCTCTCTCTCTACCCCTCCCCCACTCTCTTTCTCTCTCTTAAAAATAAACACTAAAAATGTTTTTTAATTGTTACCTTCCCCTTCTGCCATTCCTCTCCTTCTTCAACACCTTCTAGTCCCGTCCCCAGTTTTCACTTTTCATCTGTTTATACAGATTACTCCGTTTTCACCTACATTTCAATCCTGGACCAGAAAGCAGAGGAGTAAATAAATGATGTTCTCGATCAGAGCCAATGCCCTCAACATTTTCAAGTTTTCCATATAGGACCGCTGTAGGTACTAAGCGTGATGTTATTGGTACTTCTTGTTTTTAGTGAACAAAACTGGTCTCAACGACAAAAACTGTGATGACGCCAACAGCCACGTTTGCTTTAAAGTCTTTATTATCCTGAATACAAAAGACAGAAGTCCTTGAGGATATAGCAGAGTTCTTTAGGTGGAAACATTTTTTTTTACAAGTGAAAAAATAAATACCTCTCGGAATAAAGGCTTATATACTAATATGTGCCATAAAAAAGTAGAGTTTTAATATCTGACAAAATGTCTGTGCAAAGAAACAAATGCATAAACACATTACTGCTACATTAAGGCAATATGAAAAGTATACTCGGAAATCTCAGTAAAGTGACAGTGTAGGTTTCTAGCTTTAACGTAGCTAGTATTGCACCCAATAAGGTCATCTAGGTGTCCCGACGTCCTAGAAAACCCACAAGCTGACCAGCGTCCAAAATGCCCAAGTGGGAGTGGAAAACTTGAGTAAGAATATAGTAACAAAGAAGCTCCAAACCCCTCGAAGACATAGGGAGGGGCCAACTAGACGTTAATACTTAAGCATTTACAAAAAAACCCAAAAGCGTACAATCTCTAAGATACCTATGATAAGGCTGTAAAGGCTTGATGGCTCAAGCAAAAGCGACTCCACTGGACAAAGCTGGAGCTTTGGGGAGAAGGGGAGAACCCCACCCCACCCCCCAGTTTGTACTCCATGAAGCTTTATCTCCGCGAGCAACGCTCTGCCTTCCGAGGAACGCGCGTTCCCTCTTCGACTTAAATAAACTATTCCACCAACTCAAGAGCCCCAGGAGTGTGGACTACTCCACAGAAGTCTTATTACCAGACCGGTAACATTTTATAAATCGAACGACATGGGGGTGAGGAGACGAGGAGGGAAGAGAAGCCATGCACACCGAGTTTTACCGGTTTTCTACTTGTCAACCTTTTGCAAGTCCCAGAATTGATCTTTACATCTGTTTGCCTTCCAGTCATTCTTGGCCAAGTTATAAAAACAAAAATGACATTAAAATGACGGTTTCCTTACGAAGAATTCCCTATTAAAATGTTCAGAGCTCCACGACCATACAAAAAGAACCAAGTAAATTCTTAAAACGAATTCTTACAAAATTTGCTGCAAGTAGGAGACTTACCTTGGGACACATTAAGGAGACTTAGCAATACCCTTTCCTAGAAGGTACCGAACATTTTGGCTGGGCTGCCACTTAACCGACCTCAAAGATTTGACTTATTCTTTCCTTGATCATATGAAGACTGAGCCCACGGACCGTGTCTGTGTCCCAGAGCCCTTCCTGGCCACCACCATGGCAGGTGCGGATTCTACGCGTGGTATGTGTTGGTGGTGGGGAATATTTGCTTTGAAGTCTTCCTTTTTTTTTTTTAACGTTGCATGGCGGATGGGTGTCGGAGTACTTATTTTCTCCACGGTCGCTTTCTAGTTGTGTGATAGTGCAGTTCACAGAAACGTGGCCTGTCCAGTTAACTGCACAGCATGTCAGATCACGGTCAGGTTGAGGAGGCTGGTGTGGGTCGGCAGGTAGACGTGTTGCACGTGTTCCACCCGCGACCTGCAGACTGGACACGACTGGAAAAGAGAAGCCAACAGCATCTGTTAGGGACCCTTCAAGGATGTGTCCTCGGCACTGACATGCGGCGCCTTCTCTATTCTGTTCACTAGTAACTAAGCTGTGGTCACAATTATTTCTAGCTCTCAACTGGCAGAGGTCTTTGCTTTCTAATGGGCTCGAAAGTCTAGACCTTACAAGGAACTCAAAACAGTATGGAAAAGTATCAGCTGCAGGCAACTGGTTAGGTTTGCAGTCCCCCACTAAACCGGGCACCACCAGTGGCTGTTGGAAAATTCTTGCTGGACAAGGAGGCTGCGGTCCCTCCGTGGGCAGATTGTAACCCTTCTGGCAGCGAGGCAGGAAACCCGAGACCCTTCCGGAGTCTGGGAGGCTGGCTGACTCAGCCCAGCGTCACTGGGTTAATGCCATGTGGCCAGCGAACGTGGCTCTGCTCCAAGTCACAGGTCACAGCGCCATATCCCGGCTAGCTTCTCAGCAAGCACTGTCCCCGCCACACCCAGCCCCTCCCTCCAGCCCACAGGGGAGCCTCAGGCACGGGATCAGACCACGTGGGTGGAAAAACACACAAATCCGTGACCGCTCCTGGAGAAACAACTCCTTGTAGTAGAATTACCTACTCTTGGGAAGGACAAGGGCAGACCCTAAAAATAGTTCCGAAATTACAGCTTTTGAAGCTGGATATTATTTAGGGCTTTTTAAAAAAAATTTTAATATTTTACTTATTTTTGAGAGAGACAGAGCATGAGTGGGTGAGATGCCAGAGAGAGAGGGAGACACAGAATCCGAGGTAGGCTCCAGGCTTTGAGCTGTTAGCGCAGAGCCCGACGCAGGGCTTGAACCCACAAATTGCAAAATCATGACCTGAGCTGACAGACCACCCAGGCATTCCCCCATCTTTTTTTTTTTAATTTTAATGTACTTAGGTCTTCTTTTAAATAAAGCTACATTGACATTAAGCAGACTGTTCTCAGAAATGAAAATGAATGGAAAAAATTATTGTAAGAGTAAGGTACAAGAAAGGAAAACATACATGACTTGCTTTTATCTTTTTGTGACGATATTAAAATTAGTTTGACTCCCTAAAAGCCAATCCAAGATGCCCCCCTAGAGGGCTATGGAGCCATAGAAAATTAATCACAAATGATCAAATGATCACAAACACTCCCATGGATAACTGAAAGGCAGCTATAGCTAACACCTCTGAGTATGCTTCTTCAAGTATTTTAAGGAAATAATAAAGGCCATCTTCCTGAGGCACCTGGGTGGCCCAGTCGGTTAAGCTTCTAACTCTGGACTTCAGTGCAGGTCACTATCCCTCTGTTTGTGAGATGGAGTGTGGGGCTCCATATTGACAGAACAGAGCCTGCTTGGGCTTCTCTCACCCTCTCTCTCTGCCTCTCCCTAACTCTCCCTCTCTCTCGAAATAAATAAGTAAATGTAAAAACCTTTTTAAAAATTAAAAAAAATATGAATAAGTAAGTAAACTTAAAAAACAAAACCCCAAACCATCCTCCTAAGTGGTGGGAAGCGACGTGAAGTAGAAGACAGAAGTCCAGAACCAGCAGCGCTCCGGAGGCCCGGGTTCGAGCCCCCGACTCATCGCGTTACCCTGGGAATCTGAGCCTCGTTTCCAGAACCTGGAAGAAGTCTATGGCTTACAGCAATTACACTGCGGCCAATGCCGGGCCGATCCAAAATGTGCCCTCAGGGCAGCACCTCTGAGGTCCCCAAACGCGGGGACTCCGCGGGGCCCCCCCACGGCCGGCGCTCATGCAGGGTCCGGGGCGGGGGGCCCCCCCACGGCCGGCGCTCATGCAGGGTCCGGGGCGGGGACCCCACGGCCGGCACTCACGCAGGGTCCGGGGCGGGGACCCCACGGCAGGCTCACGCACGGGTCCCGGGGCGGGGGCCCCCCACGGCCGGCGCTCTCGCAGGCTCCGGGACGGGGCCGCCAGCGCGGAGCCGCGGCGCACGCTCACCTGCAGCTGGGCGGCGCAGGCCTCACAGCACACGGTGTGGCCGCAAGGGCAGAAGGCGGAGTTGATCTCGCCCTCGCAGCACAGCATGCACAGCATGGCCTCCCGCAGCTTGCGCAGCTTCTCCTGCAGCGCCCTGGTCTGCTGGCAGCTGAGGCCCTCGCAGCTGCTGCAGTTCAGGCCGCCCTCCGAGGCCTTGAGCGGGGAGTTCGGGGGGCTGGGGTCGCCTCTCGAAACGAGGTCCACCACGCCGGCGTTGTACAGGGCCCTCCGGGCGTGGTCGTACACCTCCTTTGACGTTCTCTTAATATCGAAGACGTACTTCTTGCCCAGGTTAATGTTCTCGTTCAGAAAGAGAGAGGCCAGGTGGCCCTTCAGGTCTCGGCTGTACTGCATCATGACGGCGCTGGTCACCGTGTCGCACCTGCAGGGAGAGACGGAGCGTCCACTTCAGTATCTACCAGCCAGGCACGCCCGCGACTCACACCTTCAGACGTTGCGGTGAAGAAGAATATTCTGGGGGCACCCGGGGCGGCTCAGGCAGGTAAGCGTCAGACTTCCGCTCAGGGCATGATCTCAAGGTTTGTGGGTTCGAGCCCTGGGCAGGGCTCTGTGCTGACAGCTCAGAGCCTGGAGCCTGGTTTGGATTGTGTGTCTCCCTCTCTCTCTGCCCCTCCCCCGCTCATGCTCTGTCTCCCTCTCTCTCTCTCAAAAATAAACACTAAAAAAATTTTAAAATGTTCTGTGGCAGCAGACATTTATATTCTTGTTTTCATGCCTGAGAGTTAGTTCTTCCAGTTTTATATGTGTTAAACATTTCCATGATTCTATCTCTGGGTTTCTCCACTGTCCCCAAAGGACCCGTGACGAAGTCACCGTAAGTGCAGAAACAGCAAGTGCGCGTCCCCACCTCCGGGGACACAAGTGACCGTCAAGAACAGCTTGTGGTGAGGAAAAAAGGCCATTTTCTTCTTTCAAGTCCTGGCTTTTATGTTAAAAATTTCTAGAAAATTTTCCATTCTGCTCCAAAATTTGTGTGTCTATCTTAACATAAAAAAAGGTTAAGATTGCAATTAAATTTCTTAGCTTTAATTTCTCAAATATTTGGGTCAAATCACAAGTCTACTTTAAAGCACCGTGTGAAGTGAGGGGATCACTACTGGTATTAAAAAAAATCCTTGTACGGGGGTGTGAGGAATCGGGATAGCCACTCCCTCACAAGGACGGTTAGATCATCCTGTGGGGATGAGCAAAAGGGACACAGAGCTCCTGGGAAAGGAGCTGTCGTGAAGAAAGAAGGTAAGAGAAGCGGGGGAAGGGGTCTGTGCAGCTCACTCCCACGCACATTCTGGGGTGAAGGCAGCCCCACGTTGACAAGGCCCTGCTATACACAATGTTTGAAAACAGTGGAGGTCTTCGATTCCTTACAAGATGCACAGACATGACGCTACCAGAAAGCGTAGGGGCCCTGTGGTCACCTGAAAGCTCAGAGCTGCAGACAGACGCTAAGGTTGTGAGGTACAGAGCGTACGTGCCTGTAGAAAGCGTGCGTCTCCGTTATGGCTCGATACAGCCCGCTGGCTGCCCTGGTGCTGATCATCTTGAACAAGAGCACAACGCTGTTCCCAGACTCCTTGGTGACGGTCAAGTACACGTTCTTCCCGGACTGGGTGGCCATCTGGACCACCGGGTACGCAATCCTGAAACACGGGGAGAGACAGTGAGCAAGCCCAGAAGGAGCGATGGGTCACGGCACTTGCCCCTCGTAGATTCTCCTGTGCTCAGGACCCTGCCGCACAAGCAAGCTCGGTCCAGGACTACGAGTAGGCACTCCGCTCCCCAGTCATACAGGCGCGCTGAAAAGCAGGTGTGTGTGTGTGTGTGTGTGTGTGTCTGTGTAGGTGGAAATGAGATTTTTACACCAGTGAACTTAGACCTGAAAAATACTAACTCCGCCACATCAATACACTGGAGTTTGTCGTTTAAAAAAATAATTCAACGGTTATCAAGGCCTGAATCAAATTAATATACATACCTAAAGTGAAACATGTCATTCCCAAGGGGTGACTGCCTAGCAAATCCCTTTCCAGTTTTATCTATTTTAATAATCAGAGCTACAAAGGGATGTATGCACATTCAGGGCTCAAAGAAAGATTTAAGATGCAGACAAGTTACCTATTAACTGGGCAGAAGTCGTCTTTGCAAACGGAGATTCCTTCAGGTCCAACCCCAATGAGGAGTTTCTGCCCTTCGCTGTCCCTCACGGAATGCCACTCTATGCCATAGTGCTCCATCGCCGACACGATCTGTAACACCTGGTATTCGGCAGAGGCCTGGCTGGTCCCCTCCAGCTCCTTATGCTTTGCCACGATGCTGCAGGATGCCATGAGGGCAGAGAGGCGTGGAGAGATAAACGTGTGCGGTCCTTAGAGAGGGCTCTGTATCATTTTCCCTAGTGAGTCACACAGACACTGCCATTTCTGTGTTAACGAACACTTAAAAGCGATATAGCATTGATATTTGTTTACCAAATTTACTGTAAAATACTTGTAAGACACTGCTCCAGATCTCAACTATTAGACATTCAGCAGAAAAAGCTGATAGGGATGCCGGACAGGGATGAATTGGAAGAATTATGGAAAATCCCTAAAAATATGCATGAGACATTTTGTATGTAGGAACTTCTCAGACAAGGGTCTACTTTGTAAGTTTCATTTTAATATAGCACTATAGGGGCTCCCAGGTGGCTCAATTGGTTAAGCATCTGATTGGGTTCAGGTCATGATCTCGCTGTTCATGAGTTTGAGCCCTGCACTGGGCTCTGTGCTCATGGCTCAGAGCCTGGAGCCTCCTTCCAATTCTGTGTCTCGCTCTTTCTCTCTGCCCCTCTCCTGCTCATTCTCTCTCAAAAATAAATAAACATTAAAATATATATATATAGCGTTATAAGGGATTGATTAGATAATCTGCAACCGAAAAATGTAGGATTTATTTTTATCTACTATGACAGATAGCCTCTAACATGGTCCTTAAAGATCCCCACCTGCTGGTATTCATACCCTGAATGGTATGAATTCATACCCTGAACGGACTGAGTGCTGAGTCCCTGTTGTGTTCATCACTGGCTGGACTCATCACTTGCTTCTAAGGAACAGAAATGGCAGGAGTGGTGTGATGCCACTTCTGAGATTAAGTTCTAGGAAGACTTTGACTGCCGTCTTGGGTGTTCTCTTTTGCTCTGACCTGGACTGCTGGTCCTGGGGGAAGCCAGCTACCACGTTATGAAACAGCCCCTTCAAGAGGTCCATGCGGTGAGGGAACAAGGCCCTGCCAACCCACCACATGAATCAACCAGGAAGGGGACCCCTCCCTCGGATGAGCCTTCAGATGACACTGAACTCTACCAACAGCCTGTCTGCAGGCTCGTGAAAGGTCTTGATCTAGAGCACCCAGCCAGGCCACGGCCAGGTTCCTGACCCGCAGAAGTGTGATACACTGTTCATAAGCCACTAAGTTTGGGGGTAACTTGTTCCCTAAGAACAGATAACTAAGATAACACCTGTGTTAAGCTTCTTGGTTTAATCCTCACTGGGATGAAGAAAATACCAATACACATGACAGACTTTTGAAGAGATTTGCATTTTTAACTTTATGTTTGTTTATTTTTGAGAGGGAGAGAGACAGAGCATGAGCAGTGGAGGGGCAGAGAGAGAGGGAGACAGAGAATCCGAAGCAGGCTCCAGGCTCTGAGCTATCAACACAGAGCCCAACGCAGGGCTCGAACTCACCAACTGTGAGATCATGACCTGAGCCGAGGTCAACTGCTTAACCGACTGAGCCACCCATGTGCCCCAAGATTTGCATTCTTGAGAGGTCAGAGATTTAAAAAATTCCCATTCCATAGCATTTTATAAAGGGCACTGATTTAGGTGGATTGCTTTGTGTCTGTAAATCTCTCAGAGGAAAGGCAGAGAATCTTTAGAAAACAACAATCTTGGGTAACGGCCTAGTCTTAACCTCACCAATTATCTGTATATATACGGTAGATTCATCTTCTTTGGGAAACAACCTATAAACTCACTCAATCTATGAATATAAACAGACGCCTCCGGGCAGCCTCACCTGTTCAAGGTGACACTGGAGAGCTCCTTTGCACAAAGCTCCTCATAGTTGTACTTGGCAGTGTTCTGATTATAGTCTCCAAACTTGGTCTGGGCCAGGAGGGCGCTCAGTTCCACTGCCTGCTCCGGAGAACACTGCAGGTGACCCGCCAGGAGCGTCTCCTTGATATGCAAGAAAAAGATATGCCTGCGAAGCAATGTGAGAATGAGGTTATCCTGGGGGACTAGCGTGATGTCAAGCTCAACCTGCTTAGCACTTTCACAATCCCTTTTAAGTAAGGAACACACAGTAATTTAAAAAGCCACCCTGAAAATGCTCACCACTAAGGAACACTTTTTCTTGTTAGTATTAAGGCAAAAGAAGTCTAAGGACTTAAATTTCTCTGGACTAAAAAGTATGACCCAGACAAAACAAATCTAACTGAGACAAGGTCAGGAATATTCAAGTTAGCAAATGCAAAATAATCTCACGAAGCCTTCTGCACTCAATTTTTAAAAAGAAATTCTGTTCAGAAAAACTTGATCTTGACATGGACTTGGTATCTTAGATCCTCACTCACCTTTATTCAAATGACCCCCACATCTCTAGTCTTTGCCCCAACCTCTGCAGGCATCATATTCAAATGTCCCACTTACAGACGTCTCCACTTGGATATTCAGAATCCTAATTTCACTGTTCAAAACCAAACCCACTGCTTTCTTTCCCAAACCTGCTTTTTCTCCCAGTGAAAACCAGAGACTCGTCATTTTACGTCAAGATCCACTTCTGATTCATTTTCTTCCCACCTACTTTCCTTCTCTGCAAACTCCCTAAATCCAGTAACACTTCCCGTTTTTACCTCCTATGTCCAACTTGTGGCTCTCAACTGTCAGAGAATTCACAATCTCCCCAAAGCTGATCTCCCTCAACTCTGCTAAACGACCTTCCAAGCTACTTGCTCCTGGGATCAGCTTGCCACTTCTCGGCTCAAAATCCTTCAAGGGAGGGGTGCCTGGGTTAAGTATCCAACTTTAGCTCACGTCATGATCTCATGGTCCCTGAGTTCAAGCCCCACGGTGGGCTCTGTGCTGACAGCTCAGAAGCCTGGAGCCTGCTTCGGATTCTGTGTCTCCCCCTCTCTCTCTGCCCCTCTCCTGCTTGTGCTTTGTCTCTCTCTCTCTCTCTCAAATGTAACATTAAAATAAATAAATAAAAAATCCTTCAAGGGATCCCAACTGTTTACGGAGGAGGCATGCCGTGGCGCATACCCAGGCTTCTGTGGGTCTGACCCCCAGTGTCCAGCCACATGACCCACCATTCCCTCCAGCCACTATGCCCCAGGATAGGGACCATTCCTCTTCCTGGAAGGACCAAGCATGTCCATGTCTCCATGTCTCTGGTCTTGGCTGCTCCCTGTGTCCTGAGGGGTATTCCTTCTGTCCCCTCATTTAGCTTCCTTTTCGGCCACATCAGCTGCACACTGTTCATTCCCCTGTTACAGTACTGGACATATTCTGACTTCTGCTACGGTTAGCTGCACGTAAGCAGATGTCTGAAGTGTCCCTAACCCCACAGAGCTCTGTGAATGGATGTAAAACCGCACAGTATCTGCGGTCGGTTTCTTTCCCCGCCCCAGCTGCACTCCCTCTGTGCCTGTCCTCGTCGCATATGATACGATGCTCGGTTTGCTATAAGCTATGTCAGAACTAGTAACTCCTAGGAAACTCCACGTATGTTGCCTGCCAATCCAGATCACTCAAGATTCTACACAGAGTATCCCAACTGCCACGGACAGGCCAGCCTAGCTTATAAAACTGGTCTCTGGCAAACGTACAAGCATAACCTTCCTTTGATGACTTGTTATATAGCCTCTCAAACTTGCTTAAATGCCACAATATCCCTTCCATTAACAACTGAATTACGACCAGCAGTAAAGCTCTAACACTGCTCTGAACAGGGCTCATAAGCCAGCTTCCTGCTTGAGCTGGATATCCTTACCACTGCTCTCAGGCTTTTATTTATACTCTAGCCTCATGTCCGACGTCCCCGGTCGAGGGGATAATATGAGCAACATAAGAAAAGCAAACGGAAGCGGGGCTAGACCTACAGGGAGGGGCTCTCTGGACAGTCTCACAGTGTCAGGCAGGCAAAGCCATTAATCTTCCTTCAAGAGATATTCGAATGCAATGTTCTGTGTGTTCTAGAATGATAAAGAAATATTTAAAACTATCATGCTCTGCCAAATACTGCGGGGTTTTCTTTATTGAGAGCCCCGATGAAGAAATCACAGTAAGAACGCCTAACAGCACTGAAAGGAGAGAAGCATGGTTTTTATTAACCCAAACATCTGCTAGTCTTTAAACTATTTCTGACATACTGCTAAACTGAGGAGGGGGTCCCAACTGGGGCAAAGAAATAACCACAAAAATAACTTGTTTTGAAACAGCTATGTGAGCAGTGGAGGGCTGGCATTCCCCATGTAATCTCGGCGTCAGGATGCCTGCTTCGGCCCTCGAAAGGCTTTTTAGATGACCATCCGGTAAACTTCACCTTGGTGAAGGGATCTCTGTCTCTTCACTGGGCGGGGGAGGGGTGTGTGTGTGTAGGAGACACAAATCTGAGTACATGCTTTAAGGAAGAAATGGTGTGCTGCATTTAAGGGGATCCCCACAAACCAAGTCTTCTCAATCTAATCTCTGCTCGTGTGGAAGTGCCTTTTCACTGATTTCCCCATGAGCCATCTAGAGACTAGTCACATGTAGCCTGCAACATTGATCTTATTTCTTTTTCCGAACCATCCACGCCTGCATTGAAGGCAGCTGCTGAAATCAGAGGCAAAGAAGCAGTAACAGAATATTAACAGGTGGTCAGCAGTGTGAGACCCAATACCAATCTTCTCTAGGTCTGTGGGTCAGGATTTTTTAAACCGAGGAGAACAACTGGCCTTTTGTACATGCTCCGCATTCTAGGGCGAATTGTAATCAACGCCCTGTGAGTGGAAGGGTCCTCCCCTTGACTGTTCACAGCAACTCTAGGATAGGATCCTTCCTGCGTTTTGCAGTTTCATGGCCATGACACCACCTTTTCATGTCGAGTCAACAAATGTCTGTCATTCATTGCCTCTGTGCCAGGCCCCACCTGGGGTGCAGGGTAAACATACCAGATAGATCCATATTTTAGATGGAACTTACGGCTCCTTCGTGTGAAGGCACCTATCCCTATCACGGTAAGTCCAGGCACATACTGGTTTTTGGGTGTTCTATCCAGGAGAAGAGCACAAAGGGGCAGTGATGGCAAAGGTCGCCAGGTGTGGTGAGCCATCGGCTATTCAATGTGCTCTACCAGGGAAGACGGCAGAGCTCGGAGGCACATTCCGACAGGGAATCCAGTGACGGCTCAGTACTTAGTGGGGTGATTTTTTAAAAAAATTTTTTAATGTTTTATTTATTTTTGAGAGAGAGAAACAGCATGAGCAGGGGACGGTCAGAGAGAGAGGGAGACACAGAAGCCAAAGAGAGGCTCCGGGCTCTGAGCTGGCTGTCAGCACAGAGCCTGACGTGGGGCTCGAACCCACAAACCGTGAGATCATGACCTGAGCCAAAGTCGGACACTCAACAGACTGAGCCACCCAGGTGCCCCCTTTTTTTGTTGTTGTTTGTTTATTTTTGAGAGGCAGACAGAGCGTGAGCGGGGGAGGAGCAGAGAGAGAGGGAGACACAGAATCCGAAGCAGGCTCCAGGCTCTGAGCTGTCCGCACAGAGCCTGACATGGGGCTCAAACTCACAAGACAGGAGACTGTGACCTGAGCTGAAGTTGGATGCTTAACCGACTGAGCCCCCCAGGCGCCCCTGGGGTGATTTTGAATCAAGTAATTTTTTCCCCTATTATTTTCCCTTCAACCATCTGCTTGGTAACTGTCTGGTTCACGGATTTTTCCTCATCCCCTTTTTTTTGTAAAGTGGGTGAAAGGTTAGTGATAATATCAAAACAAGCAGATGTGGTCAAAGAGGTTATGCCTGCAGTGAATTTTTATTTATCTAAAGATCAAAAGTGGTCGACGTATCAAATTCACTGGAGGCTGCGTTCTAGAGTCACAAACAGAAAGAAAGCCTTTGGGAAAAAACTTACTTCTTTGTCTTAAGTCAATGTCTGTGAGTACGTCCTGCAGACATAGGCTCAAACTGCATTTGCTAGTCTTCTGGCTGTGTAACTCTTCAAGTTTTACTCGGTTACTAAGAAAGTTACACATTGTCAATATGTGGATTGGTCTGGAGTCCCAAAGTGAAACATTCTGGCTAACTTTGCATCATGGGTAGAAATGAATTCACACTTGTTGTAGCCTTATGGAAGATTTGAAAAAATAAAGTATTACGTATATGCCACATTCTCCTTAAAAAAAAAAAAAGTCATATATCCTTCACACATTTGTTTCAGAGTACCTCAAATTTCCTCTACTTCAAAAATGAATTCCTTTCCATAGCTTTAAGCAGTAAAGTTAGGCCATTCATCTTTTAAGAACTGTCCTCTGAACACTGACTTATCTCATTAAAGAAATCATCTAAGAATCAAAGCAGAACTTTCTGCAAGCCAGGAGGAGTTGCTGACCTGTCTATCATACGCAGTTATAACCAATCACTGCTGCCGGTATCTTCCCAGTGACATCGTTTTGAAGAACTTTCTGTGACGCAAATGTAAATCAACTATATCCACATTCACTCTTAGAGTCAGCATTTAAGTAACTGACCTAAGACATCTTTCAACTGGCTAAGAGCCTATGAACAATATTCCCTCTCGATACCTGACTGAACCCGGCCACCTGTTGGTGATGGCTGGCGTGCTCCTCACCCAGTTAGACCACCTCTGAGATCACCCATGTGCCTGCCTCAGTCCAATGAGCCACTTAACCACCTCAGTTTATTTTAAACCAAACTAACTGCCTATCAAAGAGAAAAAGGGGGCACCTGGCTGGCTCAGTCGGTAGAGCATGTGGCTTTGATCTTGGGGTCGTGAATTCAAGCCCTACACTGGGTCTAAAACTTAAAAAAAAACTATCACATGAAAAAAAATTACTATACACGTTTTTGTTTTGTATCTTAAATTCCACCGAAACGAAAAGCAGGTCATGATGGATTGTAGGCGTAACTGTAAAAGCTAAAACCATAAAACTTCTAGAAAGACACATTGGAGAATACCTCTGTGACTGGGGG